AGCCAGCGCAGCCGACTAAGGCACGCAGCAGGCAATGGGCGACGCAGCGCTCAGACCAGCAAAACATTCAGAACAGTCAGACGCCAGCTTGAATCCCTATCAGTCAATATAATGTACAGTCAGACGCCAGCTTGAATCCCTATCATTAATATAATGTATATGTAGCGGCTCAGCATGGTTCAACAGGTGTTGTTCACTCACTCACTTGGTCGATGTCAAACCTTAGTCCTGGCAGCAGGGATGGTGGTGGTAGAGGTGAGGTTGGTGGTGAACTCGTAGCAATTGTCACAGGTTCCCCCCCCCTCACCCCCCCAACACACACAACGCTCACGTCCATTTAGGTGCGTGTGCCCTGTCCGCCGTGGCCGCCGCGGCCGCCGCGGCCACCGCGGCCGAGGCGTGCGCCCCGGTCGGCATTGTGGCTGCGCCAGTTGTCGTCACGGTACGCGCCGTCCGCGTGCGCAGGGGCGTCCTCGGGCCCGTTTGCCGAGCGGCCGGTGCGCTGGAACCAAGGTGCACCCCGGGCACCAGCGGCCGCGCGCGCAGTCTGCGTGTGCAGCGAGCGCGCGCGGGCAAGGATGAGCCTGGCGTGGCCGTGCGCCACGATCACTCCGAGCTCCTTGCGCATGAGCCCGAGAATCGTGTTGCGCGCCTGCATCGTCGTCGGCGCGCTGAGCTTGCCCATCCACGTCTCCGCACCCATTTCAGCGAAGTTCTTGAGCAAATTGTCGAGGCTCTTTGACTGCTCCCCGAAGCCGGTCGCTATGCCGATGACGGGGGGGAAGCCGTTGAGGCGCTGCTCCATCGGTCCCACCTGGTCCTCTCGCGTGTGGAAAACCTCGCAGTCGGTCTGCTGGAGCTGCCTCCTGCGCTCAGCGTCGAGCTTGCCCGAGCGGTTCTCTACCGCGTTGCCGCGCGTCGGCGCAACTGCGTTGTAGTGCGTCAGGCCGTAGTGGACCGTCTTCATCTCGACGACGTGACCAACGGCGGCCTGTCCATCAGGCTGGTCGAGCTCCACATAGACGTCGACTGTAGCCGCGCGCGCGGAGAAGCGCCTCCTCGGTCCGCATCGAACCGGGGTTCTGCCGCAGAACGGAGCCGAAAATCTATGAGTTCTCCGCCTGGGCTTGGGTGCAGCTATACACGGTCGCGAAGCGCGCGACCGTCCTGACGACGGGGTCGTGCTGGAGCTTGGCGAAGTGGCCGCCCTGGAAATTGGTGGCTGCAGTGAGCGTGTCCCCGTAGGGGTCGACATGTGTGGTGTTGCGGCCGGAGACCTGGGGGAGTGGGCGCCCGACGAGGTGAGCGCACGCGGGGCTCGGGAGGCCGAGGGCGCGTGCGGATATCTCGGTCCACTCGTCGTTGGGCACCTTGGCGAGACCGGCAGGGAGTACTGTGAAGACAATCATGCTCTCGCGCGAGATGTTGCGGAAGAGCTGCATCTGGCGGTCTCCACGCGGCCGGTGCGCGAGCTGCTCACTCAGCGTCTCGTGCTCAATCTGCTGAAGGTCCGACGTGATGGCCGCCTGCAGGCCGGCGCCGTGCAGCCCCTTGCCGCGCAGGCCCATCTCCTCTGGGGGCACACGTAGCACGCGGAGCTCGCCCGTGTACCCGGGTGGCACGTGAGCGTACAGGGCGGTGCCGGTCGCGATGATTGCCGCGCCGAGGCGTGAGCCGGAGTCGCCGAACTTCCGCCAGCCCTGCGACCCGGGTGCGGCGAAGAAGTCATGCCCGATTCGCTCCGCGATCGACGGCCGCTCGAGGACGCCGTGCACCGTCACTGTGCCCTTCGCGTCGTGCTGATCGAGGAAGGAGGTCACTGCGCGTGCCGCCGACGCGACGAAGGCGGCTGAGCGCGTCTCGGAGAGCGAGGGTAAGCCGAGGCCGGCCAGGCGCGTCGGTAGGTAGAGGCGCTTGTGCGCCAGCCAGTCGGTGGTCGGGTCGGAGCCAAGCGCCACAGACGCCTGCTTGAGGATGGCGTTGTTCACGCCGAGGCAGAAGTCGATGTTCTCGTCGGGGAAGCAGTGCTGAGCCCAGTAGCCACCCTTGCGTGCCGTCGAGTTGACTGTGATCGCCCACAACGCCTGTTTGTGCTTCACACCAAGCAGAGAGTTGAGTTTCTGAGAGGTGCCGGTGATCTGATTGCACTTGGAGGCGAGGGTGAGGGCGACGAACTCTACCGAGCCGAGCGGGATGCCGTATATTTTGATGCCGAGGGCGATGGAGCCGTCGGCAGAGCACGCGAAGCCGAGGGGCACGCCATACATGACGCGGACGCGATCGAGCTCAGCGGCATGGTCGGGGGAGATGTAGCTGACGGTTTTGATCAGGTTAGCCTCGAGGCCCAGTTTCGCGTGCACTGAGGCCAGGAACATGTCGACGGCCGGGAAGACGATGGCAGGCGTGCCGAGCGCAGTCACGTCGTCTGCACCAGCGCGCGCAACCCCACCACAACCAGCCTCAAGCTCGGTGTCTAGCACCCCAAGGAAGGCGCGGATTGCCATTGCAAATGCGATCATCCCCTCGACAGAGCCCTGCTGCACCCCCTCCTCGCTGCAGAACGCAAGAATCTGCTCGAGAAACTCGCCGGTGCCGCCGAAGATCAGCGACTTGGGCGATAGGAGGGAGTGTAGCAGGCGGGTCATCGGTGCTGTCGTGGGGTTGTCGAGCACTTCGGCGAGCAAGCCGGCGCGGGTGACGGAGTTGAAGGCGTTTTTAAAGTCGATGTTCACCGCGCAGAACTCGGGGTGGGCGTCGAGTAGCTCCCGTACCGCAGACACAAGCTTGGTGCCACCGCTTGGGACGAAGACTGCGAGCTGTGTAGGCGAGAGATAGTCACGCAGCGTGTCGCGCAGCTCACCCTCGGCGAAGATGGTGCGGGTGAGAGCCCGGCGGAGCGCGCATGAGATGCCGACCGGGCGGACGTCTGGCGTCTCCCCCGCCAGGGGCATCTGGTCGCTCTTGTGCAGCGGGATGAGTCGGAAGGCGGCGAGGACGAAGTTGAACCAGGGCGGAAAGTCGCGGATGGTAAGCCCCGTGGCGAACCAAGCGTGGCAGCTCACAGCCTCGTTGGCCGCTTCGCTTGCAAACGGGACCGACGGGGCTAGCGCGGTGAGCATCTCGTATCGCCATGCGGATGCGCCTTGCGCCTTCTCGCGGGGCAGTGTGCTGTACACGCGCCTGACCGTCTCAGGAAGAA